AAAAAAAAAAAGTCCTGTGATTAGCACCTTAAAAGGTTTACATTATAGTCTCTTAAAAATTTACAAGTACCACGTACGTTCAAATGTTGCAATTTGCAAAGGACACATTAAGCCATTATTATTATTATTATTATTATTATTATTATTATTATTATTATTATTATTATTATTATTATTATTAATATTATTATTATTATTATTATTATTATTAGACTAAAATGCAATTTTGGTTTTATTACATTATGAAAGTTGCAATTTATATTGAATTAAAAGACTTCACTTGCTATATGTCACTTTTATGGAACCTAAATTGCTACCTTCATAATCTAATAATCTAATAAGTAATTAGACCAAAATTGCACTTTAGCCTTATTATTATTTTCCTTTAAAAATAATTTCTTTAGGAATTCAAGGTTTAAAATTTAGTTCAAAGATAATTATACAGTCAACAATCATGTATGAATTATTCTCTCTCTCTCTCTCTCTCTTTTTTTTTTTTTTTTATATATATATATATTTTGTTTGTGTTAGATTCGAGCTTTGTCCCGCCATTGATTTACGCGGTGATGGGGAGCTCGAGGGATTTAGCCGTGGGAACGGTAGCCGTTGGATCACTGCTAACGGGCTCGATGTTAAGCAAAGTTGTGGACCCGACTGACGAGCCTAACCTATATCTTCATCTTGCGTTCACGGCTACATTCATAGCCGGGATTTTCGAAGCTGCCCTCGGGATTTTTAGGTTTTTGTTGTCAATTATATTGATGAATTTTGTAGTAAAATAAATTAATATTTACAAGCCCTCATATAGAAATTATTATGATGTTTTAACATGACTTTGTTTTGTCGTGTAGGCTAGGGTTTATTGTCGATTTTCTTTCGCATGCGACAATAGTCGGGTTCATGGGTGGTGCGGCCACGGTGGTGTGCCTTCAACAACTCAAAGGCATTTTTGGGCTTGACCATTTTACCCATGCAACCGATATCATCTCGGTTATGCGCTCGGTTTTTACACAATTTCACAAGGTATATTAATATTTACTAAATCACAAATTCTTGTAAGACAATCTAACAGTTAGACGGCTCGTAAAAAAAATTAACAAAAGCTAGGCTGCAAAGACTTACTCCAACATAGCGGGACAATCGGTTTAATTTATAATTTGTACTTATGTATATATATAACAGTATTTTGCATTTAGGGTGTAGCTAGTAATCATAGTGGTAGTTAAATTGATATATCTCATGAAAGACTATAAGAAGACATATATAGAGTGATGAATAAATGCTTTTGTACCCTTTGGGGCTTAATTATTGGACTTTTTTTTTTTAGCCAGTCACGGTATCTGAAACGTTGCCCCGACATTTTTTTTTGGGCCTTAATTATTGGACATTAACTAAACATATGGTTAATTAATAATAATAATTAATATGAATGGCAGTGGAGATGGGAAAGTGCTGTGCTGGGTTGTGCCTTCCTTTTCTACCTGCAATTGGCCAGATACTTTGTAAGTGCATCTCATCCTCATACTATAATAAATTTGTGTAACTAATTGATCATCATATATTACTGTATAATATAATGTGAAATATATACAAATATATGAGTAATTCCATTCATGAAAGGACCCACCAAACAATGATATGGGTTTGCTACATATATCAATAATTTCATGAATTTTGTCTTATTCAAATAATACTACTTGGATTTTAGCAAGGCTTCTATATATTTTAATTTCTAATCTATAAATCCTACCCTCTTGCAATGGTTAATTTAGTTATAAATATGTAACATATAATTATATATATAGATATATAGGGAATGTTACGGTCCCGTTACAGAACCATTCCGTCGAGGTTTGTAACCGTTGCATATCAACATATAATTATATATATATATATATATATATATTTAATTATGGTTTTTTTTTTTTTTTGGAGAATTTTCCAGAGCAAAAAGAGGGCAAAGCTTTTCTGGATATCAGCAATGGCTCCACTAACATCTGTGATATTGGGAAGTTTACTTGTCTACGTCACACATGCTGAAAAACATGGTATCCAAGTGGTAAGGCCTTTGTAATATTGGCAATAACTAATGACTTCAAATATTTTTGGTATTTTTGCTAAGCTAAGATCCCATTACGGAACCATTCCGTCGGAATTTGTAACCGTCAGAGATAGTTGATCTAAAGATTACAAACTCCGACGAAATAGTTCCGTAACGGGACCGTAGCATCTTCCTATATGACCGACATTACAAGCATTTAACAAAAAGCTAATTTAATTCATAATAATAATACTCTGCAGATTGGAGAATTAAAGAAAGGGATAAATCCAGCATCACTTATGGATATCAACTTCGGTTCAAAATATCTAACGGGCACAATCAAAACTGGCATTGTCACTGGAATCATAGCCCTTGCTGTAAGCTATCATTTTTTTTACCCAAAAATCCGACCCTACGTTTGTATACAGTTCATATATATACCGAGCTCATCACCGTTAGATCACACGCACTCATACGTTCACACACTTTTGTATGTGTTTGATCCAACGGTGATAAGTCCAGTTATTATATATGCTTCCAATTTAGATCGTGGGTTTAGATTTCCTGCTCCACTTTCATTTTCCTTTTCGTGTTCCACTCCGTTGGATGAATGACACGTGTACAAATATTAACTTCATTTCAAACATTTATGAGTATTACATTGATAATTAATTAAATTAACTGAGATACGCAAATAACATATAGGAAGGAATAGCTGTGGGTAGAAGCTTTGCAATGTTGAAGAACTACAACATTGATGGTAACAAAGAGATGATTGCTTTTGGGATGATGAACATCGCCGGTTCTTGCACGTCGTGCTACCTGACCGCGGGCCCGTTTTCCCGGTCGGCCGTTAACGTTAATGCTGGATGCAGAACAGCCGTGTCGAACATAGTTATGTCCTTCGCGGTCATGATAACGTTGCTCTTCCTAACTCCGTTGTTCTTCTACACGCCTCTCGTTGTCCTATCCTCCATAATAATCGCGGCCATGCTCGGGCTCATAGACTACGAGGCCGCGATCCATCTATGGCACGTCGACAAGTTCGATTTCGCCGTGTGCATGAGCGCATATATCGGCGTCGTATTTGCCAATATCGAGATCGGCTTGATTCTCGCGGTATATGTTCTGCTACTTTACACTTCACATCACTTTTATAATCAATAATTGTTAGACTTACTTTAATCCACGTAGTATCATGCTACGGCGACATAAGGTTTGACACAATAACACGTGCCACGATCATGTTACTTTTCACGCATCACATCATTTCACTTTTAAAAAATCAACAGCTATTAAACTTACACATCATTTCGGTTATTCTGTATGTCACCAAATCGATTTGAACATATGTTTCGAAATTTGTGACTGCAGATCGGGTTGTCGGTTATGAGGGTACTCTTGTTCGTTGCGAGGCCGAGGACTTTAGTACTCGGCAACATACCTAACACTAAGGTGTACAGAAATGTGGATCAGTACCAGAATGCAAGCAGTGTCCCAGGGATTTTGCTTCTGGAGATCGACTCTCCAATTTACTTTGCCAATTCAAATTACCTAAGGGAAAGGTATTTATTTAAGTAAATGAAATAACTAAAATATATATGTTACTGTTCAATATTCATTGTTTTAGTTTCTAATTTTAATTCAATTTTTTATTGTGACATTTGTAAATCAGAATCTCAAGATGGATTGATGATGAGGAAGACAAATTAAAATCATCAGGAGAGACAGCCTTGCAGTATGTTGTGCTTGACATGAGTGGTGAGTCATTCAATTTTTATCATTTAATAACTAAATAAGTTATAAGTTAGCTTATGATGCTTACCAAATATTTTCGAAACTGCGTTTCTTTAACTAATAATCTTCTCCGCTTGTTAGCCGTTGGAAACATCGACACGAGTGGTATCAGCATGCTTGACGAGGTTAAGAAGATCGTTGATAGAAGAAACCTCAAGGTTCTCTTGTTTAACTCAAATCCACATTTTAATTTTTTTTCCTAATAATCGACATTTTTGTAATACAATATATCAATCATGAAATTGACGAGAAATGTTTGAACACATGGATCGAGCAGCTAGCACTAGTGAATCCCGGGGCAGAGGTTATGAAGAAGCTTAACAAGTCGAAATTCCTTGAGAGAATAGGCCAAGAATGGATCTTTTTGACCGTTGGGGAAGCTGTTGGAGCTTGCAATTACATGCTTCATTCTTGCAACCCGAAAATGGCGAATAACGAATACGAGAAATATAGCGATTACGCGTGAGCCTGGTTAATTATGGGTGTAACATATTTGAAGGCTTGGAGGCAAATCTTTTAATTATGTACCTCCAAAATAATGTTGTAATGTGACAATTTGAGTGATATTTGTTCTGTATAATGCAGGGAAATCTGCTTATAGCTGTGAGTTAGTTTGAATTCAAGTTAAGGTACATAATAGGAACTTCATAGTGTATGGAAGAATATATTTTGCAATGACTCGACTCGACTCGACTCTCAGACGTATACAGGTCGAAATGAACTCGGGTGTTAGACCACTCGAAAAACTTCATAATCTTACATATTCTCGCCCCCCGTTTACACCAGAGCTAAAATATCAGATGCTAGTCTACAATCATTCAAGAGAGCTTCCCTAACCCAATCGAAATGAGATAGCTCGTAATAAATAGTTGCGTCCTCTGTAGTTCAGCTCGGCTGGTGGCTTTTGTGTTCTAACCTCGAATCCGGACCTGTTCGACAAGACCTGATCCAAGGTCCAATTGTGTGTGTGTTATTATTATTCAATCTCAATAACAGGTTTTCTCTCAATGTTTTTGATGTGTTATGTTTGTGTGCTGGCTGCTGCATAACATAACGAAAGGCAAAAATACATTTTTTAGACCGACTGGTTTAACGTCATACCAAATTTAGTCCCAAAATTTTAACTTTTCGTCTTGATCTTGTAATATAATATTTATTTTAGTCCCAAGATTCTTACTTTTTGCCTTTTGGATCATTGGTCATGTGATTTAATATTTTGCTGCAATTTCTATCATTTGAGAACTGAAATTGTAATAAAATTTTAAATTTTATGACTTAAATTGCTAATAAAAAATCTAGGAATTTGGTAATTTATTGTGGCACTATGACTGAAATTGCAACAAAATATTAAATTAGAGGATAAAAAAACAAAAAGTTAGAACCATAGAATTAAAAAATAACTATGACGTTAAACCATCTAACACTGAGCATTAACGAGTGGAAAATTCATCTGAAGATATATATATATATATATATACTGACCACAAGCTCAACAATATGAGATCATTAAGCCCCATTTGAGTACAAATTTAGCAAATACTTCATAGTACAAAATTCACGATGATCAAACTACTTAGAAAGAAAGCGGGGATTTTTTTTTTTTTTTGCAGGGATTCAAAAAGACCGACTCGGATAAATGGGAATTCGCCAACGAGCATTTCGTAATGGGTCAAAAGCAGTCCTCAAGAACATAAGAAGGCGAAAATCGTCATCTCATGCATATATAATTCCTCACCAACAATCTTCAAAAGGCTCATTTATCAAAGTCGATAAATTATTCAGGCATGATCACGAAATGGATCGATCGAGACGGCAAAAATGGGCCCACCTGCACCAAATGGAGGTAAAGTTGAGAAAAAAACAGAGAAAAAGCAGGGGAAAATGATGAGGTTCCTAGCAAAGGCGATGCGTAATCCCGATTTCATCCACAAGTTGGTGCAAATGAAGGAGAAGAGAGAAGAAATCGAGGACTATAAAAAAAGGCAAAGGCCGAAAGATTTTAGTTGTGTCAAAACCGAACCGTGGGACGAGTTTGGAAGTTTTTTACAGGTGCCAAGTGTCGGAACTCGAGCCACTAGCGTTGGAAATGCAGGGGTTCAGGAGGGCCGAAAGGGAGAACATGGAAAAAGAGAAGCGCTCGGGGGATTTGAGAGGTTTTATGATGATGATAAAGAGCTTGATGAGGGGTTATGGGATGAGTTTTTCAGTGAGGGGTTTGGTGAGTTTGGAGGTGGTGATGATGATGAAGAGGAGGAAGAGGATGTGAAGGTGTTGGCTGATAGGTTTGGGTTATTTGGGGTCAAGTCCTAATAAGTGAGGGAAAAGAAAAAAAAAAAAAAA